TTCCCCAAGCACCCAACGGAGCATGCGCATACTTTGGTGTACAGAAAAAAAACAAACCCGTTTGCCACACCGCGCTGCTTCTTTGCTGCGCCACAGGATTGTCCTGTGATCGGCACCTCCCCCCTACCCACGGGACCTCCACGGGATGTCTGATCATGCAACCGCGCGTTATTTTGCCCCGGGGCAAACAGCCACGCCTCCCCCCAGCGATATCCGGCCCGTGTGACCGGGGCCATAGTTCTATTCAAGGTACGAGCTTTTGTGTGCATGCACACTTCCTCAGATGCAATGAAATAGAAGTTGCCAGTCCATACATATAGGTAGAGGGTGAGCAGCAAATTAGCATACAGCATAATGAAGGTGTTTAACAGATTCAAGGACTGAACAGGAACGACAAGCTTAGTTTATATGGTCAGCATTTGTTTGAGTTTAATTCCAGGGGAGAAAAAAATAAGTGAAGGAAATAAATATATCAAAATCAGAGATTAACGGACAGGTGTCTCCTTTTCAGCTGTGGAATGCTGAGAGTAATTGAGACCCGAGTACACTCCATCTCTCTCTTCTCAAGCTGGAGACAATGGAAGGAGATTGGCTTGAATGTGATGGAATTAAATGGGGTCCCGCCACCATCCACAGGATGTTTTAATGCACCAACAGCACCATCTGCTGGACATCATGGCTAAGGAGAAGTGGCAGTCCCCAGAAGCCAATCACTTCTAACCAAACCTCCTGGAAGTTTACTCAGAAGTAAGTGAGCTGCAGTGGCTCAAGTGGTTAAGACGCTGAACTGCAGGCTATGGAAGGTCAGTAGTTCAGCAGTTCGAGACCTGAGTGCCGCATGACGGAGTGAGCTCCCGTCTCTGGCCCCAGCTCCTGCCGACCCAGCAGTTCGAAAGCAAGAAATTGCAAGTAGATAAATAGGTACCACTTCGGTGGGAAGGTAACAGCATTCCGTGCGCCTTGGTGTTTAGTCACATGACCACGGAAACGTCTTCGGACAGCGCTGGCTCTTTGGCTTTGAAATGGAGATGAGCACCGCAACCCTAGAGTCGGATTCGACTGGCTTTCGAGCAAGGGAACCTTTACCTTTACTTTAAGTGTACATAGGAAAGCAGCAGGGCCATTTGGAAGGTGATACTTAATAGATAAGTTATGATCATTTGAAGCTGCCTCAGATTAAACCAGCAGAAACAAGAAGGGAAAAAAACGGAACCTAACCTATTTATTATTTTTTACAGAAATTTACTTTATGGTCCTTATTGAATCTATACTTCGTATATATTTCTGATTGTGTTTATGTGAATATAATTATTAACCATCTTGCCACATATGTATGACCTCTGAGGAAGGCCTATTTGGCCGAAACGCGTAAGGTCAAATTAAACCAGACCATTGATCCATCCAAGTCAGTATCATCGACGCTGACGGAGAAGCTGGGCTGCCTAGACACATCATGGGTCAGTCACCAGAGGTCGCCATGACTTCCAGGTGCACACACACTTACACATGGACACAGAGACATTATGCAGTTTCAGGGTACGAGTTTTCAAAGCTCCATTCCTTGTGGGTGTCTAAGATGCTACTGGACTCACATCGGACTGTAACCCTTAGGGTGGTCCTGGAGCAGCTCCGAAATCATTCAGCCTGATAAAGAGTTCTGGAGCGCCACGTGGGTTTGGGTGCTGAGGATTTTGCTTCGGGCCCGTTTTCAGCTTCTTCCTAAATCACGTCATTCCGGTTCACTTAGGTGGGCTTCGGCTTGGTTTCCTGGAACTTGAGGTTTTCAGTTCCCACCGGAGTGGAAATTCATTCTGAAAGGCCAAAAATATCCTTCTGGGCTCTCGGAAACTCTTCCCCATGCAAAGCCCTCCAAAAGAATGCTTCGAAGGCAAACCCACACCTGGACAGGCGGGAGAGAATAATGCTTCCCGGGGGATTTGCAAGGAACCAGGAGTTTATGTACAACAGGAACGGCTGGGCCTGTTCACACGCAGTAGCAAAGAATGACCCCATATATCAGCAGCCTGAATGATTGTTTCCTCTTGGAGATGAAAACCTTGCTCTTTCTCACATCTAAACAGGCCAAAGCGGTTAGAAATCTTCTAAGGAGGCTACCTCCTTTTGGAAATGTAAGAATCCAATGGATTTAATTTAGATCAAAATGTGGATCCTGGTACTTTCTCCCTAAAAGGGGACTCCGGTGGGCTCACGGAAAACCAACCAGAAGAAAAAGAGACATTCGCGTCCAGTCAAACAGAGTCCTAACACATCCCACGTCCAATAAAACTACCAATTGCTCTCCAAAAAGAGTCCATCTAGAAAGCTTTGCTTCTACCAGGGCTATTTCTGGGCAGGAAT